TTATTTAACTCAGATCAGTAATTTAGTATTTTAACTCAGATCAGTAATTTAATATTTATCTCAGACTATAAAAAAAAATTTATATAGACATTAAAAAATTCGCAAATAATGATCAACATATATTACCCTAACTATATGTCTATATATTATAGTATTGCACACTCTAACTGTACAATGATACAATAGAAAATATAACTACAATTGTTTGTGGTGTATTAATAACTTTGTGGGTTGTTTTTTTTGAGACTCTTTAGAAGTATCCTAAATATTAAAACACAAATAATCAGCTCTGCCGATTTATTTTCATCATATAACTACAATATGCTCATCGGTGCCTCCTCTTGATATCCTTTTACTGATGTTGGTAATCCAGCATTGACTGTTCCAATTCCAATTCCTAATTCCTAGAGAACTACTTTCAATTGGTGTATGTGAACTGAGGTGCCAGCGAACTCTTTATTTCTTCGCCAGCCGGCGATCAGGTCGATCACCCTAGTAGAAACCTAGAATTAGTAGTGGTTTTGATTCCTCAAATATTTCTAACTGATCCGATTTAGATTTCACAAGGTTGACCCAAAGTTTGAACATCAGCCAATCCCAAAGATTTCTGCGTCCCAACATTAGCTTCGTACCTCGTCCCAAGAGCACGTACTGAATCTGTGACAGGTTATGATGTAGATAATCCAATCAGATGTTTTAAATTTCATCTGGTTATCCAAACAGTGAATAGAAGAATTTGTTTTCTACACATAAGAAATGATTCTAATAACTTTGTTATTAAAATAAGACAATATCGATTGATTGGTATTAAAACTTTCTGCTAAAAAAAACCCATTAGATAATATCGAAAAATTTAGTAAGATCAAAAATTTAAGATTAATAATATTGAAAATACTATTACAGTATTACGGTTTGCAAAATTATGTGAAAAAAAAAGAAATCAATGATTTCTGATTTCCGATTTCTTAAATATACTTTTTGCAGAAATAGAAGTTGTAGATTCATTATTTTGTAACATATTTGATTTAGTATCTTTTGTAGAAATATAATTTGCACATTCATCATGTTGTAAAGAATTTGATTGTGTATTATTAAATTTTGTTTCTTTTTTAGCCGATAAAAATTTACTACTGTATTATATGGTAAGCAAAAAGAAATTTAAAAGTTGCACCAAATTCAATCTTATAAGAATTATTACATGATTATAAAAAATTAATTTGCTAATTACTGAAAAAACCATGAAATTTCAAAGTAAAAACATAATATTTTTTTTCACAGTTACAATAAATTTTAGAAGTTGTACTTTGTGCATCCAAAGCATGTTCAGGATAATAGCTTTTGGCCATTAGGAAAGATTTTTTTTAAAAAATGTATACTATATAAATAAATATATATTATATATACTATATAAATAAATATATATTATATATACTATATATATACTATATATATATAAGTCTATAATATACATAAAGAAATCGGAAATCAGAAATCATCGATTTCTTTTTTTTTTGGTTTACCTAATTTTGCAAACCGCAATAATATTATTTAACATATACAGTATTTTAATTCTTTGGCCCTTAGAATGATAAGTTCATTATCTCACGTCAGCTCGATTTCTAGATTTTAAATTCATCAGTTATGTTATTTCTTCGATAATCACTTCTTGAAAATAAAAATAACGCGATTTAAGATTAGGGTTAACCTGATTTAGAGAGCGATCATAAAGCCGCTTTTCATTAGATTCACAGTAACATTTTTCATAAAGAATTATTGAATACATCGAATGTGCATTGAGTCAGAAGGTTTAAACTTTATTCCAATCATCTACACATTGTGTCCAATCTTCCTGTTTATTTGAGTACACATGGTAAAATGTAAAGTTCATTCATCAACAGAAAGTAGCGACACTAATATGAATAATCTATTAACACAATACTATTAACATAATATTAGATAAAGGTGGGCTTATACATTGAATCTTACATGGTTTGGAATTTACCTGGTCTAGGACTAAACCCGCTTTTAACTTTTACTTTAATACATTATATTATTATGTTCCTCATTAGTTATTATGTTATTAGTAAATAAATTATCTCAGAATCAGACAATTATGTAACCTGAATTCATTTAAATTTTAACACTAAAGTTAGAGTTATTACATTATACTGGTCGCATAGTGAGGTTGTAAGAATGATAATGGCGAATGATCATTTCATAATATACTGACTATATATTGATCTGTTTTCAACTCTTTTGGATTAAAATGAATGTTATCTCCTTGATGTTTCATTCATTTAACCCCAAATCGAAAATGAATTGAATTACAGAAAATGATTTCCTAAATATCTTCTAACCAAATAGGTTAACGATATTAAACCTAAATGAATCCTGTAGTCCGCATAATTTTTATAACAAAATATTGAACGTAAACGCTACATGTATTCTTAGAAATGTGCCATTTATATAGTACATATATAGGTACTGTACTTACACACTCGAATTTTTTCGCGTACAGATCATCGCTAATGAATCTGCAGAGTTTATTGTAAAAATTTGTGTACAGCTGATTTTTAAGCAAGTTTTGTAAAAAAAAAAAAAAAAAAAAAAGGCATTTTTATTGGTCTTCGGCTAACAGGTTAGAGAAATTATTGTTCTATAACTACTTTTAATAGGGTTTACTAGTTTCTGTGAGTAATTTAATGGTTTGGAGTAGAAATAGTGCCCTCTGATATGCCTCGGACAACTAATACAAAAAAACCAATAAATTTTTACTAAATATAACTATAGAAAACAAAATCAGCTGATAATTGTCGCAGGATCAATTAATATCATCGCCTAAATTACTTTATGCAGGCCAAATTGCCGTCCCTTTTTGTGCGGCAGCTAGGTTCAACGATTAATATCTCTCTACATCTCCAGCTACCGTATTCTCTTTCAATTTGCACTACTGTCGGTAATCGGCCATCGTGTAACGACCATCTCAAGAGCGACCGATGATTCTGGGTTAGGCCGAAAATGGTTTTTAGTTGTTCTCAAAGATACGTACGAATCGAGATGTAAAGTCATGCACTATTGTCCCTGACTTTTTGCCACAATTTCATGCATATTAAAATTCCGAAATTCAATAATGTTTTTGGTGTTCGGCAAAAAACACACCATCCTAATCTGATTAAATTCCAAAACCAATGACCTTTAAGGAATTCTTTGTCTGATTATAATTTGTTTTATAAGTTGAAACTTGCATGACTAAAAATACGTACAATAAGTTCATATTAGGTGGTCTAGGAAAACAGTACTGTATGTACGTACTAATTTTTCCACTCATGCGTAACAGTAATTTTCCCACTGCATGCATAATTTTCCACTTAACAAGACAATATGTGATACATATTATAAATTGTTTCTATAAACATTTAACCACATAATTATTTCCGAGATATCCATCAAGAAAGCGATACATTGAACTGCAGAATAGTGCAAAAATTGTAGATCGCAATTGAGACTCTGGCCGTTCAAATTATTGTTCTTAATTTATTTCGATGTAAAAAATAATTATTTCTTTATAACACGTGTAGGCAAGCAAGTATACGTTTAATTCCGATTTGTTCAACTATTATCGTTATCATTATCTGTTATATGATACTAACACGTGCGTTAAATACTCATAATCAATAGAACCAACCAATCAGATGTTTTCCTATTATGTAAAATTTTCGGATTCTGAAATATAAATAACAAATTCGTCATTACAGTCAGGGATTTTTCAAAGTTGTGTAACGCAGATCATTTCGTTTTTTGGTAAAGATCTGCAGTTTTGTGGTACAAATTTTGACCAAATTATTGACTACGTTGTTACACTTTTGTTATTTACTACATAACGGCCTTAGGATCCACACGGATTCCTAAACTACATAGTCTTAAGAAACTTTTTGTAAAAAAATTTTGAAAATTTTTTTAAAACTGATAGTTATTTTCAGAAAATAAAAAATACTTTTGTTTTTTTAATTGAAAATCGATTTTAGAATACTCTTCTAATATATTTGCAGATCATTTCCATATTGCGGAAAATCCCTGACTGCATTAGCCTAGCATAACCTTCTACGTAATAATGTCCGGAAATCAAAATTTAATTTCTTATTCTGACGATGAAAATAACTTTGTAATTATAGGAAATAGTGGGGCTCAACGATCACGCCGACGTTCTAGAAATAATTATAGGAAGAGCATATGTTGGAAATATTTTCACCCATTTAAAGTCCCGAAAGATGGATCAGAAACAAGATGTAATTTTAATGGATGCAATACGAAATACGTATGGCGCGGATCTACTTCTAATCTTGTTAGACACCTTAAGAGAGAGCATCAAATAACAACAAAATCTTCAGTGCTCACAACATCCATTCAGTCACCATCAACATATGATGACTTTCAATTAAAAATTAATCTTCCATTAATTAAATTCATTGTTTCCTCTGCATCACCTTTCAACATAACTGATAGTTTAAAATCTTCTGGCCTCATTAATCTACAAATTGAACTGCCTCTGGAAGAGCAAATAAATAAAGTATATGATCGTTTATTTCTTCAATTGAAATCAAAAGCTCAGCAAGCAAACTCTGTTATGCTCTCAATTGACTATCCATATATTGAAGATATTGAAGAAATTACCCCCGTAATTACTTGTTGTTGGTTAACTGAGGATTTTGAATTTAATAAAATCTTGTTGTGTATAGTAAAAAAATGGAATGATAGTGGCATTATCGAAGCTTTAGATCAGTGGGAATTAACAAACTTGAAGTTTATCTATAATTTTTATGATGAACTTGATGAAGATAGTTTTTATGATGGATTTACACTTGATGATATGCTGGAAGAAAAGTACCAAGATATCATACATATTATACATAAAAATAAGATTAGAAGTGGTGATTGTTTAATAAGAGACAATTTAACAATATGGGCTGAAAAAAGTATCAGTACTCAAGAAATTTCTAATATTATCACAGCTGTTCAAAATGCCACACTGAATCTTTGCGATGTAGCAAAGGAGTTAAGGAATGAAAGGATGCAAAGAGTAATGAATATCCCAATTAATGATATCCAAAATGCGGAAAAATTTTATTGTGATTGCCATTATCATAAAATAGAATTTCTTTCGTCAATAGAGCAATCTTTCAAATTGTTACTTAATTATAGTAATCATAATGATGAATTCATTAGAGGCAACATAACGAAGTTTAAGAACCTTTTATTAGATAATTTACCATTTAGTATATTTCCTAAATTATTACGATTGTTCGAACCCTTGAAACATATCGGAAATGTCTCTACAAGAAATATTGCAGATATGCTAACTAATGCAATTAATATTTTAAATGAGATTTCTTCTCAATTAACTCTTTCTCAATTTAACTTAGAACACGAGGTACTTGAATCATTTCTAATATTTTTAATTCATTCATATCTCCACGAGATCGTGGGTTTATTTTTAGATCCACGTTCTAGACCTATTGTTACTTTACATGTAAGTTTTGTTAGGTTTTAACATTGTTATAATCATAAAACGCAATTAATGTAATTATGTTTCATCCGATATATTAGGAGACGCTCAAAGAATTTATACTAAATAAATGTGAAGCCTATTATTCACAAATTGCCAGTTCTTTTGGTAATACTTTGAATAAATCAATACAAGATTTAGCAAGTGAAGAATTGGAACGCTATATTAGTCTTCCACAATTTCTGTTTAATGAAAACTTTGATCTATATAAATGGTGGAAAGATTCAAAACATATATTTCCTGGTTTAGCTACTCTTGCAAGAGAATATTTACTTTTGCTGTCAGATAATGAAATTCCATTAAATAATCTTGAAAAATTTCGTCGTGTATATCAAGATGAAGAAACAATAAATAAAATAGCTTTTTTAGATTGTAATTTGAAATACTTTACTTTCTGATCGCATATTCACATCATTATCATATTGTGGCACTCGTACTAAAAGGTCCCATTTTTATAATTTTCTCAATTTTTAGTAGATCATATTCAATGAAATGACTTTGTCGCAAAAACTGATTATATAATAAAAATAAAATGAAATAGAGGACATTACATAACTTATGCTGTATTTTATTTATAAATTATTTTTTAAATCTGATTTATTCAAAAATGTTTATTTGTTGGAACCTTCTAATACGAGGCTACCCTATATGTTAATCGACTTATTCGGAAGAGATTAAGTTTTATAACTAACAAAGTGATATGCTTGGAGACTATCTTCGGTGGATCTCTGCTAATATTTCGGGCGAAATCTAAATATTTCGCCAAGTCTGAACCTGAAATTCGGGTGATATTAATTTAAAAATTGTCCAAAACTATGATTGGTCATTTTCAAACGTGATCTAAGCGTGCATTCAGACAGTTTCGCTCAGGCCTGCCGAAAAATCAATTAAAATTAATTTTTGCTATACGTCATACAATTAAAATCAATTAAAATCATCATAAAATTAATTGAAACCCAATTAATGCAATTAATTGCAATTAAATTAAATTTTCTTTCACTGGTGTAACCAGATCTCTTAAACAGCGAAAATCAAAAATCATATCGTAGTGGTGAATATACGATATTAATCTAATTACGTAAAATTGCAATTAATTGACCAATTGTGATTGCGCCACCAATCAATTAATTGAGCTTGAAAAATTGCAATTAATTGCCCTACAATCAATTGTTCGGTAGGCCTGCTTTAAATACAATATAACTCGACCCACCAGTAATATACTATCACTACTATTAGATACGTAATTGGTACTGCGATAATCGTCAGTAAAAGGGTTGGTGGTCAAAATTGTGTATATCGATATCTACAGTATTACGTATATACTGTACTAAAATGTCAAATGTTTTTCATGGACATGACACTTTAATCAAGGATGATATGGGCATAAGAACCCTGTGAGATATTTATTACATACAAGGAAATTATTTCGAAAAATATTACACTTTTTTTTTTTTTTACCCAATAAGATTGACTCCAAATTATTAATCTCGATATTATAATTTTTATATTTATTGCTTACTTTAAAGTATAGAAGCAGTATCAAATTATTAATTGAAAAAATTTTTGGGATATAAATTAAATTATCTACGGGCTCATAAAGACTTTTATGACATTATTAATCAATCTGAGAATCCTCAAAACTAGGCTAGCTCTCACATATACTACAGTAGAGCTAGCGTCAGCAATTTATTGAAAAAAAACCAATGGGTGTCAGAATGAACTTCCCCATTGGGTTCACTCCAAGTGGCCTACATCCTAGATTTCATCCTGTCGTGAAATAATTACAATAACACTTTAGCGCTGGAAGTCTTTTCTTTTTTTGAAAAAAGTACAGATAATCTAAAAATAAATATTTTCTATGGTTAGTCCCAATTTGTACGTATGCGGCAATTGTAATGCATATATTCGATAAATTTGACGCTTTCATATGCAACAAAATTCCATCTTGCAGTAAAATGTCAATTCACAATAATCAGATAGAAAACATTGACAGTTCATCGGATCTTACTCAAGTGGCCAGCAATGATACCCTAGAAGATAATAACAAGTTACAGGATTTTTCACAGGAATTTCTTAATGAAATAATTAAGGAAATGTGTAATTTGTATAGTGAAGAAAGATCGAAAGGCGAAAATTTTCGATCAATTCTTGATATATTAGAGCAATTTTTAAAAAAGAAAAATCAAAATCTAGATAATATTATCAAATTTTGCTTAGATGATCAAGTTAATCCTGTGATTCAAATCGTTCTTGCAAGTTGTTATTTTTATGGTAAATGGATTGAAAAGGATGAAAATAAGGCATTCATTTATTATCAAAAATCAGTCGAGATGGGGAATATTGATGGAGCATATATGTTAGGATGTTGTTATCAAAATGGAATTGGAGTTGAAAAGGATGAACGTAATGCATTCATTTATTATAAAAAATCAGCAGATATGGGGAACGCAAGTGGAATGAGTAATGTTGGATATTGTTATGATAAAGGAATTGGAGTTGAAAAGGACGAACATAAAGCATTCTTTTATTATGAAAAATCGGCAAAGATGGGAAGCGCTGGTGGAACATTTAATGTTGGAGATTGTTATCGAAATGGAATTGGAGTTGAAAAGGATAAACGTAGAGCATTTATTTATTATCAAAAATCAGCAGAGATGGGGGACGTTAGTGGAATGTCAAATGTTGCAGAATGTTATCGAAATGGAATTGGAACAACGAGGGACCTAGATAAAGCCAAATACTGGTATCAAAGGTAAATTTTAAATTGAGATTAATTATTTGTTGTTGACGCATCACAGTAAAACAATGAGATCAGGTGTAATTGAAAGCAAAAAGAATATTAGTTAGAGTTAGAATAGAGCTAGGATAGAGCAAATAGCTCTTAACCTAAATTTGAGGTATTTGTTTGAGAAAAAGATCGATACATCTGATCATGGTATTCAGGGATCATATTATGTTATCGGGTATAATACTCTTTCATTTAATAACTTCATATATTTTAAAATCACAAATTAGGGAAAAAGAATTAACGTTAGGTATGATCTATCCTAATTGATATATTATAAATTATATTATTAATTTATTTACAATTTAAAACTGACAAATTTTATAACTATCATTATTAGATACAAGTGAATGGATACATAATTCTGAAATTGAAGATGATTTAAAAAAATTGTTAATCGAAAATAAATATCAATTATCATGGATTCCTTATGATGAATTTAATGATATTGAAGTGATAGGTAATGGTGGATTTGCAACTGTATACCGTGCGGACTGGTTTGATAAAAGTCAATACTTACACAGAACTATTGCGCTTAAATTACTTCATGAATCAAATAATTATCGTGAAGAATTTATTCGAGAGGTAATTTTATTAATAATTATATTTTTTTGTTACCATTTATGTTCATGAACTTGATTATATATTTTAATTTAATAAGTTAAAGGCATATTGTGATATCGGTCTTAAAGATCCAACTTTTTTAAAATGCTTTGGTATGTCAAAAGATAAAACTTCTAAAGATTATATTCTTGTTATGAAATATGCATCGAAAGGTTGTTTGCGCAAAAATCTGCATACTATAGCAAAAATGAATTGGAAGGATAAATTAAATCTGCTACAATGTATTGCATCAGATCTTCTAATTATTCATTCTCATGACCTTATTCATCGGGATTTACATAGTGGAAATATATTACAAGATGATTTGAAAAACGCATATATTGCAGATTTAGGACTTTCAATAACAGCTAATATTGAATCAAAATCAAAATCAGATGGAATTTATGGAATTTTACCATACATTGCTCCTGAAGTTTTGAAGAAAAAACAATATACTAAAGCATCTGATGTTTACTCATTTGGTATAATCATGTGGGAAATTCTATATGGTAAACCTGTACCTTTTATGCAAAAAAAATCAAAGTTACAATTTCAGTTAGAAGTATGTGAAGGTTCACATCCACATATTTGCGAAAATATAGCAATGTGCTATGCAGATTTAATGAAGGAATGTTGGAATATAAAACTAGAAGAACGACCAACAGCAAAAAAAATTTATGATATTTTTGCAGAATGGCAGAATAATGAAAATATTTTATCAGAATTGTCTGAATCCGACAAAAAATTACAAAATATTAAGAATGAAAGTACGCAAATATATATTGATTCACATTATAAAAGTGGGTTTATTCCATTTAATAGCGATTGTAAATATCAAGGTGATTATATTTATTTATTTATTTACCGTATTCCGTTCGCCAAAGTACCCTCCATGTATAGTACCCCCTTATAAAATATCCAGGGATTTCGCTATGAGTATTCAGATTTCAAGCTATTTCAAGCTTCAAGATGCCCAAATTTGTAAAAGACTCGGGTACTTTGGTGAACGGAATGGTATTTATTTATATATACAGTCGCACCCTTGGGACCATTGTAAAAATGTGCACTTAGAGAGGGTGTGCATCTAGAGGGGTTAAAATTCTAGGAGTTTTTCATACACCGTGCACTTAGGGAGGTGCGACTGTATACATTATTCTTAATAAATTTATATTATTTAGCATTGTTTAATCATTTCTTTATATAGTAGATAGTAAATTACATGAATTGGAATTACCGGACTTTAAGCCAAAAGATGACGAAGACGAAAACAAGAAATTTCTGAAGCCGTGATTTTTTTTTTAAGAGTAGGTTTTTTTTGACTTGAGAAAAGTTTTTTATACATAGTAAATTATATGTGAATTGAATTACCGTAAATTATTGATTAAAATAAAAGTAACCTTTCCAATTTTGGAATAAAAATCCGGAAGACCTGAACATAAAGATAATAGTGTTACAGATAATCGTACATTGTCTATATGACACTCTCATATTAATTCTTTACATTTTGTTACATTTTGAGTATGCAATTTTTAAATAGTTTTTTGTATTATTATGATTGTAACCATTTTGTTTATCAATCATACTAATTAAGTTCTTTAATGATGATAAATAAATGATGATAAATAGTATGTTTGCCTATAATTAGTACTGTTGATTTTATATGTCATTACTTTGCAAGTCACAAGTTTGCAAATCGCAATAAAACCGATTAAACCGGTTTGAAACTTCAACACGTCCAAAATTGAATATCTGTTGGATATACGAGGCCTATAATCATAGGCAGAAATTCGTCTAATTGGTTAATTTTTGTAGATCTACCCGTGATTATTAGCCAATCAAATTCATAGCTTTATTACAATATCGACATTAACTATTAACGAAAAACTGCAAGAAAATGAAAGCCT